AGCAAAAACCGGAGCTGTGGCTTGGGAAGGCCGGCGGGAAGTGTAGAAAATTTAGGGGGAATCTACCGGAAATTGGAGAAACCAAGGGAAATTAGAGTAAACCCAAGCCAATTAAAGCTGGAGAAGGGAGATTCATGGCTGTTCTTACCGAAAAATCAGGGAAATTCGCACCCATAAGCAAGAGCAGCCGACGGATGGACAGAGCAGAGCAGATCCGAAAATTCTGCAGAGGGGGGGGAAGATTTCCAAGCTTTAAATCTGGTTCTTAAACAAGAAAAAAAGGAAAAAACCCAAGTCTTACCGATTTTTCTTCAAGGCAGCTTGCTTCTTGTTCGGCTGCAGGGGAGAAAAAGGAAGAGCAGAAATGCGAAAATGGCTGGAGAAGAAAGAAGGAAAAAAATTAGCCGATCTTTATCCAAATTCTTTTCTCTTTTAAGTCCCTCAAATTTTGGATATTTTAGCTAATAAGCCCCAAAATAATATTTTCTCACACAAAGATCCTTAACTTAAATGCTAGAATTCTCGAAAATTTGGGATATTGCATTACCCTTACAAATATGCCCGCTGTAACTTTTCACTATCCCGGCCGATCGCGCTTTTCGCCTTTCGTGTAAAATTTTTTGTACCCTTATCCTTCCCCATTTGGTAATGGGTAATTTATCAAGTAAGTCGGTAATTTGTTATCCATTACATTTTTTTTTTAAATCTAATATAATCTTTAAATTTAAATTAAGTTTAAATTTTGTAGCAATTATTAAATGATTTAATTGTAAAAACTTAAATTTATTTTTAATTTAACAATTAAGATATCTATATGTAAAATTGTAACAATACTATTTTCGATTTTGATACTCTCTAGTGGACTCTTTTCAGTTTCTAGGTTGTTCAAGGGTGGAGCCCCTTGTAGGGCAGCGTGGCGCACACACCATAAAATGATGAAGGATCCAACCCATTAAAATAGTGGGTTATGTTTGAGAGCCCAAATGTGATCCATTTCAAGAATCCAAGTACTTATTTAATTATTTTTAAAAACCCAGATATACCACAACAAATTTCTGTAAGAAAAAAAAAGAAGAAAAAAAAAGAAAGGAGATTTCTATAGTGCCGTACAGTTGCCTTCAGCTAGTTCTTCACCTTAATAAATTTGAAAATTTTAATTTGTTACCTTATACTATAAAATTTTTAGCCCTTAAATTTAAAGATATGTAGATTTTAACCCTTAGATTAATGGAATTGTTAATTCTCTATTAAGGTGAGAAGAATAAAATATTTGCAAGATCAATCCTTAAAGATTAAGAATATAATAATTTAGTTCTCAAAGTTTAAAAATTTTAAAAATTATTAAATTAAAAATAATTAGTGGATGTGTTTGTTATATATATGGGAACAGTATTAGATATCTATAATAAATTCAATGATTAACTCAATTTGAAGAAAGAATTTTGATTAAGATTAAGAAAATTTTTTTACTGAGTTAAGATAAAGAGTTTAAGAGATTAGAAGAATACAACTAAGAATTTTTTTTTTAAATTTTAGTTAGATTTGTTTCTTTAGATTAAGCTAATTACTCTATTTGATTGTAGATATCTAATATTGTTCTCATGTATGTGGCAAAGACATCCACTAATTATTTTTAATTTACTATTTTTTTAATTTTTAAACTTTGGGATTAAATTATTATATTTTTAATCTTTAAGTGCTGATCTTGTAAATATTTTATTTTCACTTTAATGAAGAGGTAACAAATTTCATTAATTTTAGGGTTAAAATCTTTAAACTTTTAAATTTAGAGGTTAAAAATTTCATGGTAAAACGTGATTGATTAAAACTTTTAAATTTATTAAGACAAGGGGTTAAAGGTATACTTTAGCCCTTTGTGGAGTGTTTTCTCTATCTTTCCCACTATGTCACTTAATAGTTCAACTTCAACAAAAAATAAAAATTAAAGAAATAAAAAAACTTAGATTATCTTTAACGACAACCTTTTTGCTATCTTGTCATTGAAGGGACCACCGGCTACAACTAGCAAGTGAAGACAACACTCTTTTTTGGACCAACCACAAATTGGGTTTCAAGTTTGGTAATTTCTTTATTTTATTTTAGGATTTTGCCTTATACTTGTTAGTGGCCATGTTCTAACAATAAAAATTAGTATAGTATTTAATTAATGGAACTTATTGACTTCTTATTATCACAAAAAATTGTGTAATTTCCTTTAGGATTTACGGTTGTTGAGATTACCAAACAAAATTGGAGATTATGATAATATTGAAATTATATGAAATGGAATTAGAGTAAAAAAGCTTGTGAAGATTTGATGAGGCAATCTAACAAATTGAACAGTTATTTCATAAGAAGACTACACAACAAGTTTTAAACAATTGTCTCTGATTTAAACCTATAATTGATGCAGTGAAATAGCTTGCAATTCAAGGTTGTGTTTTAGACATCATGATGAAAGTAACAACTTGAGCAATCATGGGAAGTTTATTGAATTGTTGAAGTTATTGCCATTTAATGATGAGAATGTTAAATTTGCCATGGAGAATGCCCTTCAAAATGCTTTGTATACTTCATTAGAAACTTAAAAGGAGATATTCAAGTTTTGGTAGATAAAGTGAGATAAAGTATTTGCCAAAAAATGGTGATGCTAAGTTTTGTATTATTGTTAATGAATTGAGAGGTGAGTCAAAGAGGAAGTAAATAGCCTTGGTTCTAAGATTTGTTGATAAAAAAGGCTTTTTGAGAGTGTGTTTCTTTGGTGTTGTCATGTAATAGATATATCATTAAAACTTTGAGATGTGCTACTATTTCTTTACTTTCTCATCATGATCTTGACATGAAAAACATTCATGATCAAGGATATGATGGTGCAACTAATATGGGAGGTGAGTTTAACAAACTTGAAGCTTTGATTAGTCAAGAATGTTTTTATGCTTATTGCATTCAGTGCTTAGCTTATCATTTGCAATTGATGTTAGTTTCATCATCAAAGGAGATCCTTCCTGTGTATGATTTCTTTTCAAACTTGACATGCATTGTCAATGATGTTGTAGCTTCATGTAAGTGCAACGATGAATTGAAATCGATTTATGTTTTTGATAGTGCTTGATTGATTGAAATGATGAACTAGAAATTGGAAGTGGACTTAACCAGATTGGCACTTTATAGTGACTTGGTGACACTCATTGGAGTTCACATTTAAAATCTATTTTAAGCATGTTAATAATGCTTAGTGTAACGTCTAATATTTTGAGCAAGTAGATCAAGGAAGGATCTACTTCTTCTCAACATAAAGAAGCATTGAAAGGTAATATAACACATTAAACTCTCTAGAATTTGTTTGAATTCTACATCTTAGAAGAAAATCCATAAGGTAACTAAAATATGTTTTTTTATTGCAAGATATAATAGATTGATGTCTTTTGAGTTTATTTTTGTTTTACATCTTATGAAGGAAATTATGGAAATCATGGATATGCATTTGTCAAGCTTTGCAAATCTCAAGATATTTGAATGCCTTAAATCTTGTCAAATCAAGGGAAGGCTCTCAATCAACAATTTAGAGAAAGTAAGTGGGATTCTTTACTCAAAAAGGTAAAATTATTTGTAAGAATAATAATATAGATGTTCTTAACATATTTGCCACATATGTTGCATGGGGAGGACGTGTTCATTATCAATAAAATATTATTACTGTTGAGCATCATTATTGAATAGATATTTTCAATGTTGTAATAGATTTCCAATGGCAAGGATTGAGTGGTAAGTTTAATGAGAATGCAATGGAACTATTGACTATTAGTGGTGCTTTAGATCCTAGAGATGGTTGCAAGAATTTTAATATTGATAATATTTGTGAGCTCATAGAAAATCACTATCGTTCGGATTTTTCAAAGATAGAGAAGCTTCATTTGAGATTAAAGCTTCAACATTATGAGATTGAAACAAGTTGTGATCAAGGTTTGTAGAATTTGTCAAACAATTTTGAGCCATGTCAATAGCTTGTGGAGACAAAAAGATTAGAGATCTACAATCTCATTTACAAGTTCATTATTTTTGAGTTTCTATGACAATAGAAAGAGCATTTTTTTGCCATGAAAGTTGCAAAAATGTGGCTTTGCAACAAAATGGAGGATAAATTCCTTTCAAACTCTTTGATTATTTATATTCAAAAGGAAATTGTTCAGACATTTAGTGTAAAATCTATTATAAATATATTCATAACATTAAGACTCATTGGGTATTATTTTAATTTATAATGTAAAAGTAAGTTTTTGGAATTATAAGGCATTCTTATTTTGAGACTTAAAAATTTGGTCCCCGCTTAAAATTCTTGGCTCTGCTATTGTTTAAGTAGGTATTGTGGTAGCAAATGGTGATAGATGGATGAAGTTGCTAGGCGGAACTTGTCCTAGTAGTCAAAATGGCAATCCACATTGGGTGAGGTGAGACAACTATTCTTAACAACAGTTCAAAATCAAGCTGTCATGCCCTAAACCTTGGAGTAGAACAAACGTGATATACTTGTGAGTGGGATGTAATAGTGCACAAGGTTAAAAACTAAGTTAATTTATTATGCAAGGCTAAAACTAATAATTAAAGAGTAAAAATATCTCAAATAATATTAGAAGTAGAATGATATCAAAGAATGTTTCTAAGTCAAGTTATGCAATGATTATTGATTAGGTCTTCCAACTTTACAATACTGACAAATAAGTCCAAAAACTAAATCAAATCTCAACTAAGTCTAGATCGAATCTAAGAAGAAACTGTCACACACTTTAATCCACAATGTCTTTAGCATCATTACCGAAAATAGTGGATAAGGAAAAACATGATATATAATCATAGTAAGT